AAAAGATTAGCCCAGGAATCCCCTACTTTAGAACAACTTTGATATCCATTTCAGCAGGTTAAATTGCATTGATAGAAATATAGACTTCAAAAGTGCTTTGATCAGAACACAGAAATGTTGCAGAAAGTTCCCTTTCTACGTTTAATTAGCAGAAAGGCAATTTGTTTCAAATGTCTCATCAGTCCATAACAACGCTTGCGTCCTTCTAATTTCCCATCTGCTCATATAATTAAATCACTAAAGCGAATAGATTAACAAATTTTCTAAAAATAAAGGACTCATGCTGTTTTAGCCCCCCTTGAGTTTGGAGGGCTTTGATTAGTGAACATCGTGACAGGCTAAGCTCAAATGTCAATTAAGAACCTCTGCATGGGCTATCATCATGCAAAATGTATGAAGCAAAAGATTTTACTGGGACGTAGTTGATAGAGATTTTGCAAAATTATCAAAGTAGTTCCTTGAAAACTGACTTTGAAAGAGAGAAAGTTTGTTATAAAAGTACATGAGTACATCCGTGATTGCGTGTTCGTGGTGGGAAAAAAAGCCCGGGAGGGTTAGAGAAGAAAAAATTGATTTACAAACATGACCATGAATTAAACAATGTAGGTGGACTTTAAGGTGACTCATTGACTACGCAACAACAGCTCCTTTCTTTATTATTTTGTGAAATTTTCAATTTCTACCCCGCAGACCTATTCTCTTTTCTAGTACCTCACTCAGAGCTACTCACTGGTCAAGTAAGTTAAGATAAAAAGCTCACATCAACAGGGACTCTGTCTGAATCTTGTATGAGCCGCCAATCAACGGCTCTTGTGCTCAAAAGCTTTTCTTTCAATGGAGCTCGCTCTCAGCAGGTTGATTATTGGATATTTTTACCGGGTTAAATTTAGCTTTGAGATATATTGCTGACTTTTACAGCTTCGAAGGAAATAATGGCATGCATACGGTTAGTTTTATGTACTTGCGAAAGACTAGGGATTGTTGGGTAAAATCCCATTGTTCTGTAAAATTGAAGCAATGTATAGTCCATAAAACGAATGCAATCAACTATACTCAAATGATTTGGGATGAACTTAGAAAACAA